CCCCGCACCTCACCCACATTTCCCCCGCACCTCACCCACACCTCATCCGCATCTCCCCCGCACCTCCCTCACACCTCACCCGCACCTCACCCGCACTTCACCCTCACCCTTTATTAAATCTATTTTTCATCCATCAATCACAATTCAATTAACTATGCATAAATTCATTTGTGTATTCATTCATCGTTCATTTATTCGCCCATCATCAGTCATTCATTTGTTCACCCAACATTCATTTATTCATTCTTTCATCATTCATTTATTTGACGTTGTTTTGCATTCTTCGTCCATTTTCTCCTTCGTCATTAATTTTACTTTCTGATTGTTACTGACTTACGCAGAAGAGAAAATATACTGTAATTCTGCGACAAAAATAGGCGATTTTTCAATTAAAAAAACCGTGTTGTGGGAATTTGGTAGCAAAAAAGTGGATATTTATAGTTTGTGTTTATTTTTCTTTATTATTTATTTATTGGTTTATTTTTTACCGATAAGTTATTGCTTGTTATTGTCTTCGATATGAATTCGATATGAACTGCATAACTTACCTGGATCGAGAGGATCGTCGTTACGAAGAAAATATGAAAACTTTTGAATGGTACTCTTGTTCTCTTGTGGAGGGATTTATGAAAGGCAAGTATGGGAGGGATATATGAAAAGACGTATCGAGTCAAATTGAAATTTAGTTCATGGAGTAAATAAGTAAATTTGAATCTTTAAAAATTACCTAAAACAATGAAATTCATGTACGTACCATGGACCCGTAAACTATTCTAATTGAATACCTTGAACCATAATAAATAATCTTCTAATACTATGTAGTCGAAATCTACGTTTTGCCTGCCTTCATAACAAATAGTTCGTGAAACTGTCTTTGTCTATCTGTCTGTCTGTTCGTCTCCCGGTCTACGATCACGCTAGCTCCTAATCCCCAATCAACGATTTTTATCCTTAAAATAATATTCTTCGATCTATTTGGACGAGCTGGAGGCTCTGCGAAGTTTGAAGTAGTGGTTTTGATTGTTTGCACTTTACAAGAAGCTTCAAGTTCTTTTTTAAAGAAAGAGCCAAAATAATTCTTTAAGCTACTTCTTCTGAATAGAACACAAGACGTTTAAAATATTGCAAAGCTGCGTGCGAGTTTTCGTGTTTAACTATGAGTTTTCAATATTTATCAAAAGTGCACATCTATTTCACATTTCTACAACGACAGTATTAATATAAATATTTTTGTTTAATGAAATGTCGTTGTTCTGTGATAGATCTTTCAATAAAGAGATGTTAACAATTTTTCGGAAGTAGAAATAGATTTTCGTAAATACTAGAATTTTTGAACAATATTTCTCAAACACTGCTCCAAATGTTTTCTTTAAATAATTTCCATTCATAAAGGAAAGAATTGCGCATCCATCCATGTTTTGATGAACTCACTGTCTTGAAAAATTGCGAAAGTTATTTAAACAATGCGAGAAAGTATGTGCTTGTGGTCACACTAGTTTTTCACCCACCTTTTATTTTTATTGTTTTTCACTAATCGTCATTTTAATATTTACATGCTTACTTCGCGTATTCATGCAATTTTTATTTAATTGATTCTCCTTGATTGGATATTTGTCACAGTTCTTTCATGTATTTTTTCTCCGTTCATGTCTTTTTAACTCGATCAGTTATTAATTCGGTATAATTTAAACCTTCAAATTTCATTCATTATTACTAAGTTTAATTAATTCTCACTCATTCATTATTTACACCTTTATTATTCTTCATTCATTATTTTTCATCCATCGCTCAATGTTTCATTCGTGTATTACATTCTAGTTTGACAAGGGCCGAACGCAAGAGTAAGGGTCTAACGCATTTTTTCTCATTTAACAAGGGGAGGGATCTTCAAGTTCAATTCATTTTCACTTGCTCTATTGTCATGATGCTCGCGGTCAGCACTTCCATTCGCGAAACTAGATCAGTGTCCCTATTTCTATCACTAACCCTGGATCAGATGACAGATGTAACATAACCATTCATTCTTTCAGATTTTACGGTTCGTTTGATAATTTTAAATGGCACACCATTACTGACCAATTTTGCCTAAGTTTTGTATTTGTGTTGAATTTAACATCATGTCCAATGGATCAGCAATGCACCTGTATTTTCATTAAGTACACAGCATGTAACGATCCCTATCAGAGAGCCTCTGGTGCTGTTTTCGATGACAAGACCCGTAAACACAACGTTCACGAATTATCAACATTACCCGAGGTTAGGACGTTTACGCATTCACTAATGGCCGATGCTAAAACAGGCTGATATAACGGAAATTTATGTACCCAACACTGCGAGTCAAAGGTTGTATCAATCTTTACTGTAGCGGAAATGCAATAACATGGTCTTCGTATTAAAGACAATCATGTGATGTTAAATTAGCTGTATTAGAAAATTATTTGAACACAAACAATATTATTCAACTATTTCATGATACATTTTTTCTGGTATCAGATACTTCTTCTCAATTTCATTAAATTATAGTATGAAAACCTGAAGATATATTATTATACTTTATTGTGAAATTAAAATCTATTAATTCACTTTTCACAAATCCATTTTCTGTCGTGTCAGAAACCGAAAATAACACTGCACTTTTTTAAGCAAAACTTTTACAAAGTTGTCACTTCATTTGCATTTCCTGTAAAATGCAGAAGGACATTGCCCTTAATGGGATCTTAGTTGGCTAATAATAATAATAATAATAATAATAATAATAATAATAATAATTTTAATAATAATAATAATAATAATAATCTATCCAACAAGGAACAAGAAGAGAGATATAGAGTAAAGAATTTCAAGATTCCGCCCGCCACGTCCACCTAATCTCTTTTCCTTTCCTTTCGGGCGCGAATTAGCGCACGTAGCACCTACGGTTCGGGTGCGACTTCTCTCACTTTGCTCGGAAAGCACACAGCAGACGGAAATGGTCTATCAACATTTTCTCCAAAGATCAAATAGTTTGCACCTTCCTCTGAATAAACATGCTGTTCTAGCATTATTGCCGTATTCACATTTTTTTAGAACGAGATCTCCGTTAGATTATGAAGTAAAGTATTGTAAAGGTTTTGATTGTTGGCGTAGGAGTTTCCAAAATTCTATTGTATTTTGAGACTTTTTCTCAGACATTTTCTAAAGCTCAAACCCAAGAAATAAAATGTTCTTTGGTCCAACAAGGTAACAATACGAGCTGGCATATTTTAACGTCGCGGTCTCCGTTTAGAGGGAAGTGCCTTAGCCACAGGCCGCGGCGTCCATTGTTCCTAAGTGCAGGGTGAGCTCCGCTGTTGTAGACTGCCGGCCGGGCTGTCCGCTGTGGTCAGAGCATTGCGTGCGTGCGTGCGTGCGTGGGGCGAAAGAACGCGCCGCATTAAAACATAATGCGGTAATCTCCTGGAAATGGGAGGCGGCACTTCATTTTAATCTGCCTTCGCCACCGCACTACATGTGTAGCGGACACACACGCTCTCTTTCGGACGTTGTTTCGTGACTCACGGTGGAAGGTTTTTGCAAGTTCATTTTCGGTGATTTGCAATCATTTACTCAGAAGCAAATTGTGCACTTTAATACTCCTGAAACATGAATTTACTTGCCTTGTGCGTTTATTGACTCAATTATTATTGTTAAGCAAGTTAGTAGCATGTATTTTTAAACAACATCCGTACGAAGTGTTTGAAGTAAAAATTAGGAGCAGTTTTTAGAAAATGGCGTTTGAGCGTTTCAGCAAATTTGGAATTTTTATCTCATTTTGTCAGAAAACTGTTCAATTTTCGAGAAACTTTATTTCATATTGTTTAATGTACTTGCACTCATAAATATAAAAATGTCAACAAATTGCTGCTAATGTTAATATTAATGACGTAAGAGATGTCTAAAAATTACATTTTTGTAATGTTTGCAAAAACAAAAGAATTGAGTAGTATGTCATCAAATAGAGGGCATTTTACACAATATCCATCAAAAGTAAAACAAAATTGGAGCCGTATTCGAGAAAACAATGTTTTTATAATTTTTAAAAATTGACATATTGCACTCAAGATTGCGTAAAAACTACTAAAATGTTCAAACAAATGTACGTGACATTAATGAAAGAACTCGCTATGGATGACAAATTTCATTTGAAGTAAACATCTATATCTTCAAGTTTATAATTGCAAAAAGACGCCACAAAAAATCCAAACGTTTGCAATTTATGAAAATTCAGAGTTAAGTGTGAAAATGTGACCAATATCATCTTCATAAGCGTACTTGACTCTGTTTTTTGAGAAATTTAAGGAAAAAAGTCGGAGACGTTTTTAAAAATATTTTGAAAATGTCGTGGGGGTTTTATATAATATACACAAAAATTTTTAAGAATGTTTTTTTAAAATTGGAAAAAATTGATCCGACCCAGATCGACCAGGTAATATTCATTTTGGAAACAAGAACCTGCGAATACTTCAAGCGTAAATGCACAGACGGACGAACGTTTTGAAAAAAAGTTTCGCTCTCAGGGGACCCTAAAATGTGTATTTCGGTTGAAATTTCGAAATAGATTTTCCGCAACATTTCATAACTTTCTCTATACAACGCATATTACTCTGTATATACAAACGTATCCGAGAAAGTAATAACAGAATAGAAAAGAATCGGGGAAAGAAATTTGGATCGTATTATTACAATGTATCATGCCATTGTGCTATTCGAAGTTCAGTAGGTAAAATTCAAATCTATATTTTTTGTTTGAACCAATATTGATCGAGAGTTGTAGCGGAATCTTTTGTATTATCTCCTTTATTTTTGTCTTT